CCTAACCCTAACCCTAACCCTAACCCTAACCCTAACCCTAACCCTAACCCTAACCCTAACCCTAACCCTAACCCTAACCCTAACCCTAACCCTACCGAACCCTTACTCTTCTATCTAAACCCTCAACATCCAAACCCTTACTCTAAACTTTTGAAATCCTTACTCTTATATTTCTTGAATTCTGATTCTCTAACTTTATAATCTTCTCTTATACTCCTTAACCTCTTTCCTAGCTTTAAAATCTATTCTAAATTTCTAAACCCTTAACTTTAAAACCCTTACTCTTTTATCTGATCCCTTAACTTTAAAACCCTTACCCTGAAACTTAATAAATCCTTAAAATCTCTCCTCTATAACTCTTGAAATCCCTACTCTTATATTTCTCTGATTTTTATTCTCTGAATATATAATCTTCTCTTATACCCCTTAATCACTTTCCTGTCTTGAAAATCTATCCTGAATTTCTAAACCCTGACTCTCCTGATAAAACCCTTAACTTTAAAACCCTTACTCTAAAATTTATAATTTCTTATCCTATAATTTACCTGCCAGCTCTTATACTAAAATACTTATATATAATTCTAAAAATCTTGAATCCTTAACTTTAATAACCCTTACTCTCTACCTCTTTAATTCTAATATCTCTCTAATATTTTTAATATTTTTCTTAATTATCTTTAACTCTTGGAAAATTTACCTAAATACTATTCTAAAACCTGCTCGTTTTTATCCTATCTATTGAACCCTGAATATCCTATCCCATACTCTTATAAAACCCTCACCCTTCATTTCTAAAACCCGGACCCTTAATTTCTAAAACCCGGACCCTTAATTTCTAAAATTTTATAATCTTTTGAAACTCTGATCTTAAAAATCTAATCAATACTGATACTAATCCTTATTCATTATTACTATTAATCTTAATATTAATTCTATTTTACTACTGTCTTATAAATCTGATCCTCTTTTCTAACTCTTTACTTTATTAACCTCTAACTGTTTAATTGATAATTCTTTATAATTATAATTACTACTCTATAACTCCTTTTATTCTTAACTTCGTACTCTTTATCTATCTATTCTCTATAATTTAAATTATCCTTTAATAAACCCTTATTATAATCCCTACTCTAATCTTTTAATCTATATTATAATCTCTTCTTAAAACTATAACATCCTGCCCGGTTTAAACTCTTTTCTATTATTACTCTATATATTTCTTCTATCTCCTCTACTCTCTAATTTATATTATTCTCTTTCTATACCTCTTTCTTCTCCTCTAATCTAAACTTGATAACTTTTATTCCTATAAACTTTATAATTATTACTTTAACTTATAAACCTAATTAAAATCCTCTCTTTATACTCTATAATCTACTAATTAACTCCTGTCTTTAAAATTTATCCGCTAATATCTGTTATAACCTTGTAATATATATATATATATCTCTACCCCGACCATGGAATGTTGTAGCTTGGTAATATATATTCAGTGGGTTATATATCTATATATATATATCGCCTCCGGTTCCTATTTCGATATCAATCCAGCTTCAATATCATGACATGCCCGTCGTAACCAACAAAATACTGCCTGCACCTCGACGCCCCGTCCATTAATGGTACCCTGCCCCAAAAACGCTGCGATGGATCGATAATCTCGCGGGTTGACCACCCCAGCCATGACCTCCTGCTGGAATATCTTCCCGGCATATATCACCCGCCCTTCTAATCTTCGCCCCTGCAACCACTGCTCCCATGCCGGCCGCACTACCTCACCACATGGCCCGTACAACATCCCCGCAATCATCGGGATCAATACCCCCCGCCATGTACACACCTCCCGGTCCTGCCACCCATGGCATATCGCCTGCGGCATCCCACATTGATAACAACACTGAAATCGGATATAATCCACCCGCCGCTGTACCTGTCCCAGCCACTCCTGCGCGGCACAGCTCTCGGCATGCGGGCATTGCTCCAATCTATGGTCCCCATCCCGCCCACCAATCGTGCAAATATAACACTGGTCGAGCCATCGCCGCGCCTCCTGCTCCATGAATTCCTCGTCAATCCCGGCCTGCATGGCCTCGGCCTGTTGTCGGACCGCCGCCTGCTTATACTGCCGCTCGCGCGCGGTGTACGCGGGGCTGGTGGCAACCACCCGGGCTTGGGGTACCTGGGATACAATGGACTCGCCGCGGTCAATGGACATGGCCCGCGGATGGACCGGGGAATCCCCCCCTTCGGAACTGGATGTTGCATAATGGGGTACAAACCCTAATCCGGCATCAATTGGGGCCCTTGAATAATGAACCGCATCATTGGATAACCCTAACTCTGGACCCCTCCTCCCCGTCCCTCTGAACCCTAACTCTGAACCCCCCCTGACTGGTCTGGTCACGGTATCGGGGCTCGGGCGGAACCCTGACCCTGACCCTGGGTGTTGCGGGCTGCTGGCGATACTGACGGGTGCCTCCTGCGCCTCCCAATCGGGTTCACACCCGTCACATGCCAGTTCATCCAGATCCTGATCCCGGCACCGCTCCCGCGTGTATCCATCCACCGTCCCATCCAGGTACCCATCCAATATATATCTTCGACACCCATGGCCCATGTACGCCTGCACCAGCTGGAAATCCGCGTCGGCCACGCCATGGATCCATGGATCGGGCGTCTCCCACCCATCGGGATGAATAATGACCGCCTCGCTGGCCTGTCCATCCCGTCCAGCCCGTCCACTTTCCTGCCCGTACTCCAGCAACGTCCGCGGCCGCCCAATATGGATCACGCACCGGATATCGGGAATATCAATGCCCATCCCTAACGCGCTGGTGGCCGCAATTACCCGGTGCAGCCCGTCCTGGAACCGCTGCATCACCCCGGCCCGGTCCACCACCTCACTGTGGTATGGCTCACATCCCAATTCCCGGCTGATCGCCTGCACCTGGCTCTTGGTCTGCCCGTACACAATCACCCGGCCCCCCCGCGCTTGCTGGATCCGACCCTGGATGTACTGCAGTACTGCCGGCATCACTAACCACTGATGGGGCTCCCGCGGGGTCTGGCGGGGTAAAATTGGCCGCCATACACGGTATGCCACATTCCCCCGGCTGGTCCGGGCCCGGTACATGCCAACCGCGCTGGCGGGTTGCTTGATCCGCTGCAAAAATATATCTTCCATGATGGGGGGCAGCGTGGCCGTTAAAAACACCATCTGCGTGCGGGCACTGACCAACCGCCCTAATCGGGCCATGGCCGGCCGGAAATCCTTCTGGGAATTTAATATGATATGGCATTCGTCCACCACAATCCGGTCCAACCGCCGCATCCACCGCTGCCGGTTCAAAAACGTGTGGAAATCCGGGTCCTCGCTGGATTCGGGCGTGACCAGTACAATGGCGGCTTCGTCCGGGGGCCGCCGGCTTTCCCATGATACACACCGGATCCCAAGCTGCTGGCACCGCTGCATTAAATCGGCCCGCAGTGAAATCAATGGGACCACCACAATGGTACACCCTCCCGGGGCCACGAACGCGGGGAGCATAAACAGCATACTCTTCCCCCCACCAGTGGGCATGATGGCAACCACGGGGCTGGCGCCGTCCTGGATGGCCTGGATGGCGGGCTGCTGCACCCCGCGGAACTGTATCTCGGCCCGTCCAGTCATCCGCTGCAATGCGGGCTCCATGGGCGTGGCCTGGAGCTGCCGCCGCCGCTCGACCTGGTGGGCTGCAGCCTGCTCCTCCCATGGGTTGGCCCGCTTGCCCAGTACCGGGGGCCCCCCAGTGGGGAACCCTAAAAACTCGTGCCAGTCCGTGCTGGATGCCCGGAACTTCAGCCGCCGCAGCATGGTACTACCCGCAAACTCGTTGCTCTCCCGCCCATACACCATCCCCGCCACATGGGCACTGTGCCCGGCCTGCTCATCAGCAATGGTACCGACCCAGTCATCCGGGTCCTCCCCGCTGGCGGCCAGTTCCTGCTCCGCCGCCTGCTCCTGCTGGATGTTGTTGGGGAATGCACTGGATGGCCGTAAAAACCGCCGGCTCATCCCAATGGCAATATCCCGGTAATGAGCCACAGTCATGGCCGTACCCAGCCCGGTGCGTGTCTCCCGCTTGAGCACCTCCCGCAGCCGCTCACTGCTCCATTCCCGGCCACTGCCCACGTCGCAACCCCAGATATATGGGCTGCTAATGGTCTCGAGCATGAGCCCACGTCGTTCCACCGGGGGGAACCCGAACCCTGGGTCGTCTGGCTGGGTGTCATCCATGGCTGGGCGGGGAGGTTTAACTGTAGTAAAGCCATGGTCGGTGTGGGAATGGTTAACTGCAGTAAAGCAATGGCCGGGCTGGTCCGCCTGGGGGTCATTAACTGCAGTTAAACCCTCACCTGCCCGCGCCAGCTGCCACGCCAGTTGCTGGACAAACGGCCGGACCAACCATAAATAATATACCACCAGCCCGCCGACCTCCCGCGGCAAATATCGATGGATCACCTTGGTATCGTTGCTCGCGTAAAACCCCTTGTGGTATGCCGTGACCAACACCACCAACCCATCCTCGATATATATATTCCGCTGCTGGTTGGTCTCGGTGTTGACATGCTGGGTGCTCAGCAACTCGGGCGCCCGCGCGGGGGCCCCCCCGGTCAAATGGACGGCCACGGCCAGCTTCTCCAAAAATCGGGCCACCCGCTGCAGGTACTGCCGGATCTTGCGCGGGTGGAACGCCCCCCGGGTCATCACCTGCCGCTGCACCCCGGGCTCCCCCCGCAGCCGCTCCACCATCCACCGCGCACCGTCTACCGGCCACGGGGTCCGGCGATCCCGCAGGAAGCTCCATCCGGGCGTCTGCTCGGCCGGGTCGTCAAACAGCCGGTCCCATGGGATGGCCGGTAACCCTAACCCTAAGTCGGCCTCCTGCAGCAGCTCGCCCAGCAGTGTCCGGGTGGCACCCACCAGCCCATGTACGAACCCCCGGAACTCGCCCATTGTGAACTGCACCTGCTGGTACAGCAACCGCTCCTGGCCCATCCACGTCACATGCCCCGGCGCCGTGGTGTTGTAGTGGATCTTCAGCCCGTACGTGCGCCAGTCCAGCAGCGTCTGCATGGGCCCGTGCGTCCCGCGCACCATGAACCGCCGCACCATCCATTCCACACAATCCTGGAGCGGCTTGCGGCCGGGGCGGGGGACCCGGGCCATCGGGATACCGTCCCCGCTGTGGACCGATGACGGGGGCGATGACGGCATCATGGGCTGGCTGGCCTCGGTGAATCCTTCATCAATGTCATACAAGTCCTCCTCGGCCGTGGCCAGCAGCCCGGGGGCCACGGTATGGGACTGCCATAGTGCAATGATCCCCAGCGCGTCCGGGTCCATCCACAGCGCCTTCTGCACCAGTAAAAACCGCGCGATCTTGATCACCCGGGATAAAATCGGCGGGTAACTGTCGGCATCCCGCCAGCCTTTCTCGCTCCGGCCCAGCACCGCCATGGCACACACCAGCGGGCTCTCGTATTCCTGCGTGCGGTACCGCTGATTGAGCAGCTCAATGCAAAACTCCAAGCATGCGGTCTCAATCACCGTCATCTCCCATGTGGATGCCGCCTCCGCCTCTGCGTCCATCTCCATGGGATCCGGGCTGGCCCGCTCGTCCGCTGCCTGCTGGGCCAACCCCCACAGCCGCTGCCAGTAGCGCCGCTGCCGCGCGGTCATCCCGTACTCCGGCTTCTGGCCTTTCCACGGCCAGTCCGTCTGCGTGCGGGCAATAAACCCCAGCACCTGCTGCCATGGCTGGATATGCTTCTGGATCTGCTCCGGGTTCATGTACGCCATCAGCGGGCGGTGCGGCGTCTGGCTGGTCTCCGTGCGCACAGCCTCGATCCGGATGGCATGCCCGCAGTGCTGCACAGTCTGCTGGCTCTTCTGGACCAGTTGGGCCATGGTGGCCTGCAGCACCTGGACCACTGGCTCAGTATCAACCCTTTCAACTGCAGTTAAACTCTTGTCGATATGGCCCACGCTGGAAATACTGATCAAGTCGGCCGGGTCCACCCCCTGCAGGTACTCGGCCCACCGTGTTAACCGCAGCCACGGGTTGGCATCGTTGATCTCGCCCGCCTGGACCACACGCTCCCGCCGCTGCTTCTCCTGCTGTTCTTGCCATGACATGTACATCTGATCCACAGCCTGCTGGATCTGCGTGGTGGGGGGTGGGGGCTCGGCGCGCCCGTCCGGGAAGCGGATATATATATAATGGGAGCCTTTCCCCCCACGGAATACCTGCTGCCAGGAGACACACCGGAATGACTGTTGCAGCTCAGCTTGGCTTGCTGCTTGCTGTGCCTGCCTTGCTCGGCCACCGTGGCAGTACTGGGACCAGCCATGAACATCCCGCCAATGATTCCGCATGGCCTTCATGGAGGACACCAGGTACTGGCATGGTGGGTCCAGCCGGCAGCACTGCAAGCCATTGGGCTCGCATGGCAGGATGGGCAGCGGCTTGTCAAGTTCATATGGAATCTGAATTGCTTGGGAATCCTGCTGGATCCCATCCCATTGCTGGATTGCCTCGCTGATGGCATGTGCGTCTGCATGCGGGAGCTGGTGTTGCTTCTTTAAATGCTGCTCAATCTCGGCTGGTCGGATCCCTTGCCGGTAGTGGCGGCAGATAATTACCTGTAAGCTGGGGATCTTCTGGAATATCTGGGTCTCCATGCTTGTAAATAAAGTACTGAAATAAATGGGTATCTGTTATAAGCAGATTTAAAGCCAGGTTGGACATTGGAACACCCCTGGATACGAGCAGCAGGTGACACGGGCGGGCAGCGGGCGGTACCCCATCAAAAATCATAATTATCCAACCCATGATCTTTAAAGCTAACCCATACCTGTAAACCTTGCTGGATCCAGCTCCGGAGCGAGAAACTAATAAATAAATAGCGATTCTATAACATAGTAGAATCTAGATATGATCAGATAACCCGTTCTCAAAGCATCGAGGGTCTGAATTAAATGGTAGGGACCCCCCAACCCGCACCAGACTACAGCCAATCAGCGGCACGCGGGTGGGTCCACTTTCGGGAACCCTAACGGCATCGAGGGGTCGATTCCCCGGGGCCTGTGGGTTAGGGTTAGTAAAACCGGTTCTGTGGTGTTGGGGGGGCTGTGGTGGTGCAGGCGAGTACTACAGAGCGGATATAGTTTGATATCTTGGCTATAGTATGGATCAGCCGGCCTTATTTTCTTAGCGGCGGGCGCTAGTCCGAATATAGCTAGGTCATGTGACTGATCTCCCGCCCCATCTCATGCGCAGGGCTGGGAGCCTGGGACTATCTATCAGTATCTATCTATAAATCTGTACTCGTGTGGATCCTCTATACTATAATAGCCTGGATAGCTCCGGAGTACCCTTTTAATATACCAGACAAAGCAGTCAGTCTTGCCTGAAAATAGCAAGTCGGGTCTGCACATGGATAATATATGTATATATATATATATTTTCACATGTTCCATGCAACCCGGTTACTACCCTGGATCCTACATGGAGATCCTACATGGAATATATCTATACAGATAGGTTGACGGTTCACCTAAGATATCTTGCCTGATTAATAGAATCTATCAATCCTGGTCTATCTCAATTATAATACATTGCCGCTTGGCTATCTGGCCCTCTGGGGCTTCCTCCCCGAGTGGCCGTTTACCGCGGGGCCCCAGGTAGGTCTCAAACCCCAGGAACCCATGCCACTCCCGGCTGATCCCCCGGTACTGCCGCCGCCGGGCCTCGACATGCCCGGGCGCCTCCTGCAGGCCCCGCGCGTACACAGTCCCAGCAGTCCAGGATCCATGGCTGGCCTGCTCGTCGAACACGGCTGCAGCCTCCGTCCCGCTGTAGTCTCGCTTGAAGCCGCCGCTCTTCAGGTGGACCCGCGAGATCGCGATAGCTGCATGCCGGTAGGACAGGATATTGAGCTTGGTCTGGAGATGGGCCTGGGCCTCAGCCTGCAGGACCTTCCGCAACCGCTCTGGGGCCCAGCTACCCTCCCCGGCTGACCAGAGGAATGCAGACTTCCGTGCTCCCCGGGTCAGCTGCTCCAGCGCTTCGCGGAAAGGAAGGACCAGCCATAGGTAGTAGACCAGCAGCTCACTGACCGGCCGGGGCAGGTACCGGTGGATGATCTTAGTTGTGTTGCTGATCGAGTACCCCTTATGATAGCTGGTCACCGTGCTCACCAGGCCATGCTCGATAAAGATATTCCGGTGGCGGCCCTGCAGGGTGTTCCGGTGCCGCAGGCCCAGTAACTCCGTGGCGCGCGCCGGTTGGCCCCCGGTGATATGGACCAGCAGGAGCAGCCGTTGCAGGAAGCAGTCTACCTGGTGCAGGTACTGATCCACAGGCCCCTCCCGCCACAGGACCTCGTCCGTCCCTGCCGGCCCGCCTGGTTGGATCTCCAGGAATTCCTCGCGCAGCCAGGCTAAGCTGAGGACACGGTCCAGCAGCCAGCGGTCCCCCGGGGTTGGCAGGGCCTTGCGAGTGCGGGGATCCCGCAGGAAGTTCCATCCGCGCGTGTTGTTGGTGGGGTCGTCCCGGAGCTCGTGCAGGGCGAGCTGCGGGACAACCTCCTCACAGACCTCCTCCTCATGGAGCAGGAACAGCCCCTCCAGCTCTGCCTGGGCACGCGTGACCTGGCCTGCGATAAATCCGCGGAGCCCTTGCATGCTGAGCTGCAGGTCCTTGTAGCTCAGGGTCTGCTCGTCATCACTCCAGTAGATATAGCCCAGGCTGGTAGTACTGTTCTGGATCTTCTTGCCATAGGTCCGCAGGCGGGTGATCCAGCCGAACGGGGCCCGGACCCCATAGAGCAGGAACCGCTCGCGCATATCGTCTAGGGCATCCGCTGGGTAGCTGACCTGCCCAGCCTCTGCCAGGCGGACCGCGCGCAGGGCAACCAGCATCTGGGCCATCTTCACCAGCCCGGATAGGTAGCTCGTGTAGCCGTACGGATCCCGGAACGTCTGCCGCACGGGGTCGACCCCGAGGACCGCAAGGAACCCAACTAGGGGACTCTCGAAGAGATCACCCTTCAAGCTATGGTCCAGGAGCGCGATAGAGAGGTCTAAGCAGGCCTGGTCCAACCACTCATGGAGGGATACTTCCTGGGGGGACCGTGCCTGCGGGCTATTATATCCGGCCGGCAGGGCTGGTGGTGGCGCTGGCGGGGGAGGCACATGGACCTCCACCCGGGGTGCCAGGCGGGGGAGGGAGCTGGCTAGTCCAGGGTTCTTCTTCCATGGGATGGTCCGCGGCAGGGCCTTGGGCGGAGGTGGGCAGGATGCAGGTAGGATGGGTGCTGGGGCTGCAGGGGCTGCGGGGGCTGCGGGACCAGGCTTAGAAGTAGTCTTTAGGGCTAGTGCCTGTAGCTGAAGGCTGTACTCCTCCATCTGGTCCAGGGCCGCAAGCTGGGTGGTGTTCAGCTGGTGGCGTAGGTGGATAGCCTGCTCCGGCCGCGTGCTGCGATACACAAAGCAGACCAGCTGCTGCCAGACCTGGCAGTACCGCCGGTAGGTTGCCGGCCAGAGATGGATCTGGATTGGCCGGTTCCACACGCTGGGTCGACGGAAGAAGGTATTGATCTGGACCTGGTCAAATTCATTAATCTGGCCCTCGCGGATTGCCTGGTACGCCTGGTCGATCAGTCGTTGGACACTGGCAGTGAACTGGGCCAGCAGCGGCTCAGTCCGGGGGTTTGGCAGGCAGCCCAGCAGGGCTACAGCTGTCAGGTCCTGCCCCCGCAGGTACTCCGGCCAGCGGGTGAGCTCCAGCCACGGGGAGGCCTCGGTGGGGTGGGCATCCAGGACGGGTACCTGGCCGTCAGCTTGCTCTGCGGTGACCTCCCCCTCCTGCAGTGCCTGGTTAACGCGGGCGCGGATCAGCTCTGCAGGGTCCTGGGAGGTTTGCATGGTATTACCCTCCTGGCAGCCCCCTGCAGGCATAGTCTGGGATACCTCAAAGAAATGACTCCCAGCCCGGGTGGTATAGAACCGCTGGCAGGAGACCGGGCAGCCTGCTAGACGCGCCTTCTTACGGGCCTGTTGCTCGGTCTGAGAGAGCCGGCCCGGCCGCCAGTCACCATCCTGCTCTCTATGCTTCTTCCGGCGGTGTTCATCCAGCAGGGGAAACGACCGGATAATATAGGGACAGTAGGGGCAGGCATAACCCTGGTAGACAGGCAGGCCTGGGACTGGGGGGTCCCCCTTTGCCGGGAACAGGCTAGTCTCCTTCGCAGGATCAATCCACGGCCGCTGGAGCATTGTCGCCAGGGCAGCCTCACGGAGGGCTGGGGTGGCCGCAGATGGGTGGGAGCCATGACGGGTCCGGAGGTGGGTTAGCAGGACCGACGGGGCCACTGCATACTGGCAGCGAGGCGCGGTGCAGATCCAGATCTGGTAGGTTGGGTTGTAGAGAAAGAGATCCATCTAGAAGTAATTATCTTGTTTACTATAAACCTGTCAAAGATCCAGGTTGGAACCTCAGCTCGGGATATGTTAAGAACCTGGGAATATCAGCAGAAACCAGTCCCCTGGCCATAACACGTGAATAAAANAATGTACCTGGGCGTGGAGTCTCCGCGTCTGTTATACCTACTGAAAATCATGCGCGACGAAGGGATCCTCCAGCGGCCGGGCGACGGGGTTGTGGACGAGGGCAGTGGGGGGACGGGCCCGCAGAGAGCTCCGCCGCGGTTATTGGTATTTTGTCGGTGGCCCATGGTGCTCTGGCTGACGGCGATGTTCTTGGATGCGCTCAGTATGGAGTACACGGTCATATCTTCCGACATGGGGCCTGAAGCGCGGGCGACCAGTGCCGACTATTTTACGGACCGCGCGTCGAACTGCAAGATCCTCCTCACGACGTATGCGTGCTCGGCGGTCGGCCTGAACCTTCAAGCTGCGTGCGCGTGCGCGGTGTTGCTCGAACCGGCTCCGAACATCTCCACGCAGGACCAATGTGTGGGCCGACTTCACCGATTCGGTCAACAGTTCCCCCAGAAGGCCTTCATCCTGTTCCAGGATCATACGGTATGCCGATGGCAAGAAGCGAACAATGCTGAAAAGGCCAACCCGGTATTAGCCAGTCGGCTTGATCCGGCGGTGGTGACGGCCGAGTTGCAGAAAGTCGAGCAGGAGGCGGTTGCCGCGGCCAGCCAGGGGACAACCGCTCCCACCATCAGCTGTGACGATGGTGGTGAGGAGACGACCAAGATGAACCGCAACCGAGTCCTCCATCGCCTAGCAGATGAGATGCTGATGGCGCATTTGGGTCAATCCAAGTCGCGGCTGGGGATGAAGGATACCAAAATCTTGTACGACAGAGACTCTCCGGCCGAGGACGGCAACCCCGGTGGGAACGCTGGCGGGTCAGGTGGGGATCTGGTATGTATACGGGTGGTTGCCGTGCGGTTCTGGTTTTGCGCCTGCAGGCGCAGACCGGGGCGCCGGGTCTAGGTTCTGGGTGAATGGATGCTAACGGAGAGTTTGATCATAGGTGACTCCGCGGAAGAAGCGACGGCGGACTCTGGCAGCGGTCGGAACCCCTTCCGGTCAGGATGGGCCTAGGCGCGCCCTCAAGTTTGTGCCGGGTAAGGAGGATGCCGACAGCGGGCGTGCGGAGCATGTAAGTACTCGAATCTGCCTGTTGGAAGGTGGGGTGAAAGGGGGGGTGGATCCCCGACTGGCCTGCATGTGAAAACCCGGGTCGGTTGATGCTGATGGGAGTTTTAATTAGGAATCCGATGGGATCC